TGGCCCAGTGGCTCTGGTGATTCTCTATAACCTAGGTCAGTGACATGCTCCTTGCAACCTTTAGGCAGCAGTCCTTCTGTGTTGACGATGGTTAATTGGAGTCAAGGTGGTGGGGACTGTAGGTTTGGTAATGTAGAGGGAGGCTAATAAGCTGATAAATGTGTCTACAGAAGGAAGGGAGGCATGCAGGTTACTCATTCCACATAGGGCAGTGAAGAAAACAGTGCAGAACTTTTTTTCAAAAAAAAAAACAGCATTAGAGATTACACCCAGGGGCTTTCTACCATTGAATTACGTCCCCAGACTTTTTTTTTTTTTTTTAAGTTTTGAAATAGGGTCTCACTAAGCTGCTCAGGTGGAACATGAAGTTGCAATCCTACTGCCTCTGCTTGCTCAGTGCTGGGATTTCAGGCATGCATTACCATGCCCAGTTAATATGGGACTTTGAGGCCTTGGAATAGGAATTGTATTATTTATGTATTTATTTATTTTTTAATTTTAAAAATTCTATTAATACATGTTTGGAGCACATAATGATTACACCCATCGTGGGGAGTTGGTACAAGTACATAGCACATCTTTTTTTTTTGCTTCCCTTTTCCTCTTCCTCACCACTTGGACTTGGAATGGGCATTTCAAATCTTTTAAAGGAGGAGGAGGTACTGGTGCTGGTAGCCATAATAATTCTAGCTTTGCATGCTAGGCATATGCTCTACCATGTAGCTACATCCCCAGCCCTTTTAGTAAAGTAATTCTAGCTTTGATGCTGTACATTAAACTTGCTGCAGTTGAAACGCTCTTACTAGGATGTCAGGTGCAGAGAAGAGTCTACCTCAAGGGAGATCCCATCCTCTGCCTCTTAGTGCTCTTGGTATTCTTTTTTCCTTGGACTGAATGTGCATTTGGAGAGAGTTGGAGTAATTAGAGCCTTGTGGACTGTGTGAATACTGGATATGACTTGGGATTGTGGGTTGCAGAAGCAAAGTTTTTCCAAGGATGTTTTCATTAATCAAGGGTGAAGGTGGAAGTGGAAGGTTTTAAGACATTTACAGCCTGTGTAGTTCTGACCGTAAACAGTGGTGATGCCCTTTGTGGCATTATCCCACTGGCACCTTGTAGGAAAGAAATCACACTCTCTTTGGGTGGTGGAAGGGGCAGAATATAGTTCCAAAAGTCAACATGGAAGGCCCTAGAAGACGAGGCCAAACTTAATTTGAAACAACATCAGCAACCTCATCAGACTGCACCACAGGCATAGTTGGCTTGTTGATCGCTCTTCCGTGGACGAGGGGGGGTACATAGCTTTCCTGTGTTGGTGAGAGATTTGTCTGGTTAATTGGTTACTAGAAGTCTGGCGTAACCAGTCAGGTGACCCTGAGCACTCGGTATCCCTTAGCTTTGACAGTAGCATGTGTTGCCCAAGATTGAGTAACCATAAGCCTGTGATGATCAGAAGTGTCCAGGACCACCGCACTGCTCAGCTGCTGCATCCTAATCCGAAGTGTGCCGGGGGCCTATTAACTCCACTAGGGAAAGGGGCTGAGGTTGCATATTTTTTCCATAATGAGGAATTCCCTGCAAGAGAGTAGATAAAAAGTGTTAAGTCTTTGCCCCTTGGGTACACTTTCCAAACCCACTGAATCAGCCACTTGGGATCCACATGGCAAGGGTAACTTGAGGGTAGCTGAGAAGACTGAATGAAAGAAGTAACCAGATGGACCCACGGGCAGCTTTCAGGAGCAAATTGGTGAGCAAATGCCAAAGGTCAGTTGCAGGTTTTCTCCAGTTGCTGCTTTTCTGGCAACCTGGCTGTAGGGCAGACAACTGCACAGCACCCCTGAGTCACTTGGTGCTGGGGAGAGGGTCAAGCTGCTGTACTCCGAAGAGCTGCAGATCTTTGGGCCCAGACCTCTGTCTGCTTCTCCATAAGGCTGCTTCTGATTTTCCTGTCTTTGGCTCGCAGTCTTCAGGTTCTTGGGGTGCTCTCCCAGCCTTAATCATGATGCATTTTTTATATCTTTTAATTTATTAGTACATGTTTGCAGTACATAATGATTACATTTATTTTGGGGAGTTTGTACATGTGCATAACACATCTTAGTTCTTTTTTGTCCCTTTCCCCTCTCATCTTTCCTGATCCTTCCAGCTGTTCCCATTTGAAAAAAACTCTATATCCATTTTTTTCTTTGATTTTTGTTTTTGAAATCCCTTTTCCCTCTCGCTCTCCCTCCCACTCTTGTTTCCTTTCTCATTTAAAAGTGATCTCCCTGCCTCTATTATCTGTCCTTTATTTTGCTCTTTATATTTTGGGTTACTCGTATAAGAGAAACCATGCAATATTTAAACTTGGTGTGTGATTTATTTCACTTAATATATAGTCTCCAGGTGTAACCATTTACCTACAGATGCCTCAAGTTTATCCTTCTTTATGACAGAGTAGTACCCCATTTTGCATATGTACCCTGCATAGTAATCTTAATAGTAATTCTTAATCCATTCAATCTGTTGATGAGCATATAAGCTATTTCCAAAATCTAGCTATTATAAATTGTGCTGCTATAGACATGGATTTGTATGGATCACTGTAATATGGTGACTTTAACTCTTTTTTTTTTTTTT